TTCCTAAAATGTCTCTTATTTCTATATATATTTTTACACTGTAATATTCATATATTAACTTATTATAGAATATTCTACCACAAGCAATGTAAAATGCATGACAAACTACTTCATCAAATTTTTACATTTCAAGCAACTTGAAGTGAAAGGAACATTGTTTCTGTATTTCCTAATTACTTTTTCTCAATTTATGCACTTTCCTTGAATTAAAAATATCAGTATTAATACATTTATTTAAAATTCGATCTTGCACACAAATCTTAGTAAACACTGAATTGCATGATCAAGTTAGTATAATTTAACAATGTTCCCAATAACAGTATTTACTATAATTTTGTTGCAACAACTTTAATGAAATGTAATAACAATATTAAATTGTCATAAAATACCAATATCGCTTATTTATTACAGTTACAGTTTTATCACAGTATTTTTTACAACTTTTAGTTTATTTGTGAAAAAAAGTTAAAATATAAAATAGAAATTAGCTCAATTTTAATTCTCATTTCATACGAATTTTAGTGAATAATTTTTGTGGGAAAGTTAAAAATTTTTTATTTCTTGAAAGGGAGAATAAAATTTGTGTAATACACATAATTTTAAATTTTAAATTGCTAATGAAAATAATGATTATATGTAAGTGTATTAATTTTTTCACACTTTTTCTTGTGTTTTTATATCACTGTAACTTGTATTATACAGAATAATCTTATAAAGTAATCTTAAAAAATAAATAACATGTATAACATTTTTCAAACTTTACTAAATAAGGCAATATAAAATTATCATACCAATATACATACATTTGCAACTTTAAGATGTATGAAATTTAATATACTAAGTACTTTTGTTTTATTATATGTACTGCATACATCATTTACTTTCTCAATAAGTGAGTCAGATCCTTATTTTGTTTTTGAATCATTATATCTGTCCTTTCTGCTTTATCTGTTATGTTGTCAATTAAGTCATTCTGTAAATCTATCTCCTCTGATAATCCTATTGCTAAGCCTTTCAATCTAGCTAATGAACCACTCATTTCATCTAAATTTTTTTCTAATCTCTTACTCACATTGTTACTCAAAGAATTATTACCCTCAAAGTCATCATCTAATCCACGTAACTTTAATGCTGGGCTTGTACTAGCCATATTAGTCTGTACTTGATCTAAAGACTTAGATAAAGCAGGAGATGTCATAGATTCAGAACTAGAAGATTCAGATAATATAGTTGATGGTATGGGTACATCCATTGATTTACCACTTAGGTAATTTTTAAAACTTCCAAATACACTTTTTATTCCTTGAATATGTTTTTGACTAAACCTTAAAGTACTATTAATATCATCTAATCTCTTTTCAGTTCTTTCTAATTGTTCCCTCTGTCTACTGAGTTCCTGAAATAAATCCATTAATATTTGTTCATTACACTACTAAGTAGTTGTAATGTAACATATTGATAAGATTATATAAAGAATTACATATGTTATCTGTAATAAATAATTTGATAATTAGTTCATACATTGAACTAAGTTAAACCTTAAATTTATACAAAGCAGATATCTCATATTAGGAATTATCTGTTACATTTAAAATAATTTGACAGTCTGAAAAGTTAGGTAAACTGAATTTTTCTATTAAGTTTCATATAAACACGTTTCCTTGTTATCAATGAGAACCAACAGATAAAAATGTAATTCTAACGCAATATTATAATGCAAGAAACGCAACTAAGTGATAACCGTATCGTAATGAGGTATACCATAATGCAATATAATGAATGACAAATTTTTCATGTTACCTCTGCTGTGGCAGCTCCGATCTGTTCAGAATCTCTTAATAACGAAATAGATCGTTCTGATGATTGTATTGTACGTTGTTCTATCTCCTTTTTCCGTTGCAATAATTGTTCGTGCTTTTGTTGAAGTTCGTCGTCGAAATTGGCATAATGATTATAAGCACGTCCAGAGGATCTTGGTGGTGCACTGTTTAGAAAAGTTTCGTCATCGATGTCATCGTCGAGACAGAAAAACGGATTTTTCGGGTTGCTTAAATAATTCTGATTCGCCATTTCGTACGTATGTGTATTGCGCACTTAATGATCTTTCTGCTGAAACTGTTTCAGAGTCTGGTTAAATTGTTCGACACTGCCATTCGTAGGCATAAGATCTGTAGATACAATATACTAGATGGCATTCTGCATGTGAATAATGCTACATGCAATTCCATCAGTACTTCTCAACCATTTTACCAATAACGTACCAATAACGTAAAGTCCAGTGCTGGTTCCAAGAATTTAATTATATTTTTGTTAATTTTGAAGAAAATTTTCTTTTCTTCAAAAAGTATAATTAAAATTTTTTTTAAACAACTTGAATTAAATTCAATTGGAAATATATTATTGAAATGGTTATAGATTGAATGTAGTTTAAAGTTGAGAAATACTGCTTGGTTTAGCAATCGGTAAAACAGTTTCTACGTAACTTCGAGCAATACAAAAATTACGCAGTAGGTGCTGCCACCAAACGATAGATTATTTAAATAAAGATTATAACCGTCTTTCGCTGCTTTTCAAACGTCCCAGTGAGCGCATATCGATTCTAGCGCGAGAAAGTTAACCGTCGGCTTCGCACGAGCGGTCTGTCAGTTGAGTCTCTTTCGTTTAAAATAATCTTTTATAAATAACGGTTAACATGGAGTCGGCTATTGTCCATCTCGAGCAAAGCGTAAGTAATAACTTTTTCATCGTTTTCAACTTGTTCATTTTATATGTCACTTACAAGTTTTTATGAAATTTGAACTTGATCAATTTGTAAATGTCAAATGCCAAGTGTCATGCTTGTATGGATATTAAGTTAATATTTTTAAAATCTTTCGATGTTACAGGTACAAAAAGCTGACGGAAAGTTGGATATGATCGCTTGGCAAATTGACGCTTTTGAAAAAGAATTCGAGGATCCAGATAGCGAGGTATGTTTTGTTTAAAGCATTATTCGAAAAATACGAACTACATTTTCTTTGTGTTCCATTTATTAGACTCAGTTTCCTTGAAAATTTGTAGTTAGAACAAAGAATTACATGTTTCTTCTAAATGTCAGTTATTCAATTAACATAAACTAATTTACTTAAGTAAAACTGCAATTCAATTCATTTGCTTAATAGATCTAAAAGTCCTTTAAATTTCAAATCATTTAAATTTATGTTTTTAAGTTTCTCCTTTTATTTTTTTATGCTAACAGATCTCCGTGCTTCGTCTATTACGGTCTGTTCATCAAGTTACAAAAGATTATCAAAATCTTCGTCAAGAGATATTGGAGGTTCAACAGTTGCAAAAGCAACTTTCAGATTCTCTTAAAGCACAATTGTCTCAGGTGCATGGACATTTTAATTTATTACGCAATAAGATAGTGGGACAAAACAAAAATGCACAATTAAAACAAAATTAGAATGTTTAGTATATTTTTTAAAATTACTTCTTAAGTTATGCTTAATTTATTTTTATAAACTTTTTTAAATTTAATATATTTTGAAGCTAATGTAGTAGTATCAGGAAAATTTAATACCAAAAGTATATAGAACAATATATACTTGTTACTATGTTGCTTCAAAGGATTTAGTAAAACATTATTATGGTAAAAAAAGAAAGAAATAAGTATTACTGAACAAGCTAGAAGACAATTCTTGTCTTTTTTCTTCTGTTTTAATTAATGAAATCACTAGTCACTCTCTTTGATTTTAAACTTCAAGTGGTTTGCATTTAATATATTTGTAGTTCGTAGTCTCAACTATTAATATTTTGCTAATTTTAATTGTTATTACAAAATACTTGCAGTAGATATAATCTTTCAATTGATTTTAGTATATAACAATAAATATAGAAAATTATATGTTTAAGGAAAATATACAGTTTAATAGTATTAAAAAGATTTAATTGCAATCTTTGCACATAGGAATTCTTAAAATTTAAAGGCAGCTAATATTACTACATCTTCCAATGAATATTCATGCCTTACCATGAACATTTGAAAATGACTAAGTTATAAAGTGCATTATAATTGTTTTTCAAATTATTTTAATATCTTTGTACATAATAGTTGATAGGTATTAGTTATATGAAAATACCATACCGGTGCTTGATTTATTATTATTGCTATAATTATTTATTCATGGACCTTACTGCTTAGTTTATAAATAGTATGGGAACAACAGGTATTATTGACAAATAATTTATTTGACTTCCTCTGTAAGTGCGATATTGGGGGCCAATCTATATGCTTGTATGTCCACAGAAAATAAGGGGACAAGTAAGGTTTACAAATATTATTTTTCTCTTTATGCAGAAATATGATAAATATACCAATTTTTAATTAATTAGAGTTATGACACATTTATAGTAAATGTACTTTCAAAATTATGGTTTAAGAATATTTTATAAAATTTCTTAAAGAATACTTTTAAAATTGTAAAACAATTAAAATCATTTGAATATTTGAATAATTTTTATGAATTATCAAAATTAAAGTATAAAATAATAGTCTGTAACTTTTTGTTTACATAGAATACATAATTACAGTACCAAATTTTATTTACACTTATTAGATTGTAGAAGAGCTGAATATACATCTATAGTATATACTTATATACTGGGTGACAGCAGGATAATATCTACGTTTAATAACAAGTTTCAATTAAATTTTATTATTGTAATATTACTAAAATCTATACAATGTATCAATTCTTATTAAAGTTGATATAATTGAATAGAAATTTCAACTCTTGTTTACATGCTTTATGCAATCAAATTATACCAATTAATCAAAATGATCACAATAACATTCTCTCAAATGGAAAGAAAAAATACTAGTAAGTTTCTGATAGTGTTCAATTACAACAAAATTGTACTTTTTATCTAGTGAATAACATAACTATATTCACTATAATCACCCTGTATGTAGTTAACTATTTCCTCTGCAGTAATAATTCTAACAATTCTTATATTTAAAATATATACAAATGAAAATTATTCTTTATAATCAATAAATAAATTTTCTGA